GCTTGTAAAGTTAAAATTTCGGCCTGAAGTCCCTTCGGCTTGAAGTCCCGTCGGCTTGTTGTCCTAGACCCCATCATACGAACATAATTTCATCACTTTCACCTGCTACTGCTGTTTCAGTTCATTATGACTATTCCTAATTGTGACATTACCCGGGTGGGTATTCACAAGTACCAAAATGATAAATCAGTCCCATTTGTACCAAAAACATTCAATTGGCCTAAGACTATTAAGCCGACTACTTTAAGCTTTTGAGTCAACCCGGGTGCCACAAATTCTCAAAATGAAAATAAAAGTACAAAAAATGTTTAACAAATAGAAAAACATTTTCTTGAATTAAAGATCAAGTTTCGAAATCAACTTTTTCAAGGCATAATTGGCACGTATAAGTGACATTATTAACTCAAAACGGATCGCTCTATCATTAAAAGTTGTGAGAGCGCAAGTAAAGTTCCATAACCTCGACCAAAAAAACAATGAAAAGTATCATATTTGTGATGACAATTTCATTGGGTCAAAAATAACACAGCGCAAAATGTATTCTGTTTCCAAAGTTTAACCTGTTGATTTAATAAAATAAACGAAATTTAGCTAGCCAAGACTATCAAGTTGTCTCCCACAGGTCCTCAAAAATGGAGAAAAAAAACCTAGTACAATATACAGCGCATGACCTATTAACACACAGGAACACAAATTCCTTGATCAATTTTTAAAACCAAGCACTTTGAGGCATCATTGTTACGTATAAATAGCTTTAACGAACTAAAAAAAGCATCGCTATATCATCAAAAAAAATACCCGTTTTGTCACGACACGTTCATTGAGTCAAAATATACCTAGCGAAAATTTTATTTTGTTTCCAACACTTAACGGGTGAAGTCAAGTAAATTAAATTAATTTAGCTCGCCAAGACAATTACACTGACTCCCACATGTCCTCAAAAATGAAAAAAATAAACAAAAATTGCACATGTTTCACAGTCTTCAATGTTCATAGATCCAAGATTTAAAAATCAGCCGCATAAATCCCAAAATCATTCTTCTTGAATTCTGATTGATTGAAAGTTGAGCCATCAAATAGATGGATTATTTTTTTTGTTAAGACAGAAAAAATTCAAGCGGCCGAATAATGACCGCCGCAGTCGCGCCAACGTATTGAGAGCTTGCAAAAGAGGTAAGGTCCAAATACGAAACCTCAGTGCGTCTACCGGTGACGTAAAACCGAGAATCAGGTAAATTAATTTGAGACAAACTGAATGGTTTTAAGACTTGTGCGACTGTTTTTTTCCTTTTGGACAGATGAATATGAGTTATAGGAAAACATCTTGTAACAGTTGTTGTTGTACTGTGTGCACTTTTCTACTTTTCAGAAACTAAACTTGCAATTTGAACGGATTTTAATTGTTGTTTTATTTTTCAGTGATTAAGTTATCATCAAACATAAGCTTATTTAAGTTTTCTTAACTTATTCAAATTTTTATTCTAGTCGCTTTAGGTTATATTAAAATCTTGAAACATTTTACCCCTAGAACTCTAAATAAGAAGGTTAAGATAAAGAATAACATTAAAACTGGATAAAAAAACTTTTAATAATAACGTTCATCAACAATAACTCAACCACTCCAGCAACGAAATGAAAGCTGTCAAGATCAAACAGATAATAAAAAATTACAGAAACTCCTAGCTTAGGAGATATGGACGATTTTACGATTTAAAAAAAAATTCAAAAAAAATCTAATTTTAAATTTTTGTTTTTCTTTTCTTTTTTTACCAGCGGTTGCCTGCTTACGTAGGTATAATATAGGCTTCTGATTCGAATGACAAAACTTGACCGTCCAAATGCTCGTTGGTTAGGAGATATGGATGAAAATACAAATTTTCAACAATTTCTAAAAACATTTAAAAAAATCTTTTACTGATTGTGAAAGATGTATGCATAGCTAGGGTAGGCGTTTGTGGGCCATATGGCCCCGTTGTCTATCCTCTCATTTTGATATTTACTTATAACGATGAATTGCCAAATTTATGTAATGAATGACCGTGGAATAATTTTTTTTCTTTCTTTCTTTCTTAATTAAATCATTTGAAAATTTTGCAATCAGAACACTTCCCTCACTCGTGAAAAAGGCTTACAATATATAATACTTACTCGTAATACATACAATTTATACTGCCTTTACCTTTTCCTCGATTACACGAAACAGTGGAAAAAAAGTTAAGTGAAAATTGAAGAGTAATTACAAAGATCAGAGTGGAGTATGGGCCAAGAATTGGTTGAAAAGTTATTTAAAAAAGATTTAGCCAAAACTTTACAGCTCTGGAAACTTACAAAACTGAGAGGTGCGGTGCGGCCAATTAAAATTCAAAATAAGATTGAAAAAATAGTTGAACTGGATGAACTACGGGTACTGCATTAGGTTGAATGATTCTAAATAAAGCTGTGTATAGTGTTTATTAGATTTAGATGGAAGTGATTCACTTTTCTTCTTTCAGAATTTTGTACATTTGCTTGAGTATTTGACTTTATGTGATTGAATTGTATCGATATTTTCTACTCTTCCAGGCCGAAATGGTATCCAGCAGTTTCTCCAAATCGGAGGATCCAAAGTTCGTTTTTTCAGATTGTGTATCCCAAGGAGACTGCTATTCACTCAAGCTAGTTTCGTTTTTTTTTGGGTTGATTCCATGGAAGTTTTGGTGTTAAGATCTTCTAATGAGTCGGACCCCAGGAATAGCTTGAGTACCGCCGATTTAAGCAGTGAAGATATGTTTATACACTGATCCGCTGGAGTTCGATATCACTGGCTTGTTGCTTGACCTTTGATGTCTAAGGTTTTCTAGAGCAATTTTGGTTTTCTGTTATAATGCTTTTCAAATGATGCACTATTTAATTTCGATATCAAATGATGCACTGATTTTATTTGAAATTATTCGATATGAAATAATTTCAAATTATGCACTGTTTAATATGGTCGCTATTGCATCCTAGGATGCAATGGCGACCAAGTGGTGAAACGCCTAGAAGTTGTTAAGGTTCAGTGATACAGCAAGTAAGAAAAACAAAAAAGATTTTAAAGGTTGTTTGCGGCAAAAAAAACCTGTTTCTTGATTACACGACACTGTTCTGTCAAAATTAGTAAGTATTTGTTTAGATCTTAGTTAGGTTTTCGATCACAGACAGTTACAGAGAAAACTAATATGAAAAAATCGTCTGAAAAGTTTTTTTTTCGACTTCGTTTTCAATTTGTGAGGATTTTTGTCAAATATGCTCAATAGGTCTTAAGGTAATGGTAACTTCACGATTTCTTCGAAGTATGCGTGCCTTGCATGGGTACTGGTTTAGCGAAGTTGCTGGGAAATATGCAAAGTGCATTATTATCGCTTTGCTTTTTTTCAGCCCTCAAGTTTTTTTTAGCTCGCTCAATACTACAGATGAAAATGAAGTTATCACATGAGCAGCTCCGCTTTCTTTCTAACGATCCTTCTTTATAACAGCTCAAGACTGATTCTGAAGTCATGCCAGCTGCATGATTTCAGAATCATTAGTTACGGTTTTTATTAGTTTTTTTTTAGTTGATTAATACGGTTTACCCTAAAGGAAAGGAAAACGTATAAGTTTTTCAGCTCTTAACGGAGAACCGCTGTTCAATAGCTTCAAACCAAAAATTTCATTTCTTTAAGGGCAGAGAATTGCAGCCTTAACCGAGTGCAACGAACACGGACAATCGCTGGCACTTCACCATCGTTCTTCTCATTTAAAATTCAAAACTTTAAACCAAAATTAAATCACGTAGTCTCTGTTTTTACCTGTTTCACATGTGCACTGCTGAAAAGCAGGGGCTGATTTAGGGAAAGGTGGGAGATGGGGCGGACGCCCCTTCAGGAACGCGAGCCCCTTGCCAACCAAAGGATCCCTGCCCCCTTTTCGTATCATTTTATAACATCCACTTTAGGCCGACCAAAGCTAAAATTTTTCTAAAGGCGCCAACAAACTAATTTTGAAGGGGCAGCGCGTCGAAAACACGCAATTTGTTTAATTTCCCCCCCCCCCACGAGAAAATTCGAGATCCGCCCCTGCTGGCAAGATCAATACTTGAAAAGCAGTAAGTTCAAGTATATTTCTGAAAAAATTACAGAAAACCGTCTTTTAAGGGTTATTTAATCGGACGTATAAAAATTGCCAGTAGTTCTTGCTGCAATTAGTACTGATGACCAAATATTACTCATATGGTCAATATAAGTTGCAAATGACTTTTTTAACAATGAGATCAAAAAGACAAGGAGAAACTAAACTCTCAAGCAAGTAAAGGTGTTGTACATTTAAGATTTGATACATAAACTATTAATATTAATCCCCTAATTTTTATTAATATATTTTACAGTTTTTTTTATCGAAGAGATTAATTGAGCACCAGGGAAACAAACACAAAATACAAAAATAGTTTATTTAAATTCGTCCACTGATCAACAAATAAATATTAACGCTATTTAAACTGCTGTCTCAGACCTGTTTTTCTGGGCTAAATGAATACCAAACCTAGGCTTTAAAAGTCCTCTCTAGTTCGGGAAAAATGCTGAAGGTAATCAAACACATAGCAACAGTAAAACATAGCCAACTGCCAGTTGGAAAAGTGTCAATGAAGCCACGGAGTCAGAAAAATTTAAGCTTTTGCTGAGAAACTTGTTTTCGAGTTGTAGAAAAAAATACATCAACTTAAAGCGCAGCAAATTTCAAGAAGCTTTTATGATTGACACTCTTTAACCCAATTAGAGAAAATTATGCCAATTGTATTTTTTCCGCTGGGATTTCAGAAAATTAAGTCCATTTTTGAAACTAGAAGTCTTTCATATTTTTTGTTTGCGCCATTTTTACTTTCGCAAATGGAGAGCAAAAATAAATCAAAATTCAAACTGCAAAAATTCAAACTTGAGCGTAAACGGCTTTCCTTTAAAAGCAGAGAAAACTGAACACGACTTATATAAGTGTCTTCAATAGGTTCATTGACACTTAAATGATTCCAATTGATCAAATCTATCAATTCTACATTAAAAAATTGCACAATTCTGATAAGCTTGAAAACTAAATTTTATTTTTACAAAAATGGAGAATTCAACGTCAAACGTGGAAAACTTTTTTGATTACACAAACAAAAGATTAAATCAGGCATAAAAGATAGAAATTTAGAAATGGTTTTTGGTGATGGCTCTTTAAAAAAAACAGGACAGATGGATTTGACTTTGTTTCTGTAATGTATAGCAACATTTTTATTGCGATAATTTAGTTGTACAATAATTAGTTACGAGTATTGTCTATAACTTGGTGCATTTTTGCTTGACATAATTGTTGTTCACATGTTCGTCCTCGCCACTGTTACTTGTGCCTAAGCTATCTTTGTCTGATACTTCCTGTGGAGGGCTGGAATCTGTGGCTTCAACCGAAACATTATTTGAGCTGTTGGGATCATCTGCGTTGACCTGGAAAGAAAATCAAACTCATATAATTGAAACAATATAATTGATTGAGCTTTATGGGGGGGGGGAGAATGGGGGGGGGGGAGATTGCTCAATTAATCCGATTTTATGACACCTTGAGGCTTTCCGATTGATTGATTTAATACAATTTTGATGCAGAGCTCTTTTCACATCGAGAAATTAACTGTAACTAAATTTAAATTGCTTTAGCAGTTGGGTGATCTGAAATATGAGTACAAAAACTAAACAATTCTGATCAGATGAATGAATTCATCGAGCCGTATCTCAACTGTCTCTGGCTTCTGCCGAACTGGACGCTTTGTGGAGACCTCCCCTAGACGGCAGATGTGGGGAAGTTCCGACCTCCCTCCAAGATCCAGATCAACCAGGGTACTCTGCAGAGTATAAAGGGTTTTCCCCAAGTAGCATCGCGGACTTGAGACACCCAGCCTTCCCCGCGGACAGAAGAACAAACGAAACCCAGCAATGCCTTCTCTCTGGAGACGTGGAAAGCAACCCCAGCCCCCTTCAAGTTCCCCCACTGCACCAAGAACGTCACCAACAAGGACTCCTCAATCAAGTGCGGTGACTGCATGAGCTGGTTCCACCGACGCTGCCTGAACATGAGCGTAATGGAAATACGCAGCTGGTCAACCTGGAGATGGCACTGCGGCTGTACCCCGGCTCAGCAGAAGAAGAAAGAAGATAACATCAAGAATGAGTGCATCCTCCAAATCAAAGTGGATGGTTGGAGGGGGAAACGGACCGTCCTCAACAAGTTGTTGAGCAAACTCAGCCCCGAAAGTCATACCTTGAAGTGAATCTGGTACTTATAAGCGATGGAATCTGCCTAACTTAAAGAAAAGCAGACACCTGCTTCAAAATAGAAAGGAGAACCGTCTGTAGCAAGAGATTCGAGCAAATCCCCAGGGAGCCTGCCTCAGACACCATCTGCGAGAAGGGAATGAAGCAAGAACCTTAGAAAACTACATAAACAACACGCCTACCGACTCAACCCACCAAAAAGCGACCAGCGGGAATACCCTCAAGTTCGACAGAAACCGATCAAGACAAGAAAGAATCCTTCACCAACTGAGGCTACACAGGGCTCCTTGGCTGCAGTCTGTAGCCCATCGGCACGGGAGAGTCGAGAACCACACCTGCCACTACTGCAACCAGGTACCTGAAGACACAGAACACTTCCTGATTTCCTGTCCGTTCTGGGTAGAAGAAAGAAATGAAACCCTGGGTCAAAATCCAGATCTGTCCTGGTTTCAAGAACACCCGGAGAAAATCCTGCCCTTCATCTGCAGAGTGGGGAGATTCTCCGAGTCTCCCAAAATTTCATCGGATGTCCCTCAGTAACAAAAACAACTGTCTCTGGCAATACGGACACAAAAATTCTTAAAACAAACACAGCTAAAAAGCAGTTCGAAAAAGCTGATTTTATGTTCCATTTTTTTTCTTTAAAACTTGAGCTTCGTTATAGCACCAAGCAAACCTTATGTCACTCATTTTCACACTTCATTACAAGCAATACTGATAAAGCAAATGAAGGTTTTTTATTAAATTGAATATAGCTAAGTAGTACCCAGAAACAAAATAAAAATAGAAGAAAATTTGCGTCTTTGATATGACAAAAGCACGAAGAAAAAGACACTAAGTGTAAAACATTAAGTAAAAACTAGACAAAGGTGAAGTTTGATTTCGCAAACAAACAAAAAAACATTAATGGAGCTCTGAAAGTTAGAGAATAAAAAACAAATTTTACATTGTACCGCCGAGATTCGAACCAAATAACACTTACGATCGAATCACATGCGCAGTAATGAAAGCAATCTACTTTGCCGATATAAATTTTTCTAATTAAACCCGCGTTTTAATACTCTTATTTGCCCAGAAAAACTGAACCCAGAAATTTAAACAGAAATCAGCGACTTCCCAATTAAAAACCTAAACTCATTATTATAAATGCTCCCAGTTAAACAACAAGCTGGAAAAAAGCCAGCTATTAATATACACGGCACCAGATTAAGCATAGCCAACAGAAGCTTGGAAAATGTAAAAGAACAAGGAAACAAAAAAAACGATTCAAAGTTTTTGCTTCTCCTTCAATTTTCGGAAAAGAGTTAAAACTCTTCGAATTTCAAGAACATTTTAAGATTTTGAGTAATTTTTCTGATAACCTACTTTAAGAACATAGCCAACTGAAAGTTGAAAAAGAGTAATAAACGCAAGAAAACAGAAGAAAATATGTTTTTTGAAACCTTCAACTTTCGAATTTTAACAAAAAATAATTGCCCTTAAAGCTCTTTGAATTTTTTGAATAATTGATGCTTGGTACATTTTTGATGAAATTAACCCAATTTTTGGTGCCCTTTATTCTTTTGCTTTTCGATAGTAAAGTTTGCCTGCCTTTTAACAAAGGAAATTAACTGAAGTTGAAAAGAATTCAAGAGTCAAACCGCGAAAAATCAAAACTGCGTGAACATATTTGAAAACTGTTCCTATAAGAAAAAGACCTAAAGATAATCAGTACGTTTATTATTCTTAAAACTGGCTTAATTAGTAAATTTTTCGCTCCGCAGGTAAATTAAAATCCACTTTCGAATCTCTAAGTCCTTCACGTTTGTTCGAGCCATTTTCTCTTTTGTAATCGGCGAGCGCACTTACCTATCATTCAGGAAATAAACTTGAATTGAACTCAAAAAGTGCATATATAATTAAGTGCATTCCTAATTGCATTATTACGTATAAAAACACATCAGTAGTTATTAGAGCATCTTAAGACTTTCCTGAAAAACATACAAAAAATCATCAAGATCTATATAAGTGAAAAATACTTATTTAGGTGGTCGGAACAACAAGTTAGAAATTAGATCTTGCGAAACCTACACAAAAAAGACGTTAGAATAATCATTTTCGGCTATTTTCTTATCTACAATTCATTAAAAAGATTTTTTCCAAAATCATCACTTTACAGACGGTAGAAAGTTTCAAGTTTTTTAAACTAATTGCCCATCAACTAATGTACGGCCAAAGGCATAATTTACCTTTAAAACATTATCTCAATAATTCAAGTAATACACAAAACAATTCGTTAACATGATAGCATAGAAATATTCTTGCAAGTTACTCATAGCAAATGAGGGCTGGTTATAAGCGCTCTTGTCAACTTAATTAAACAACCTCCGGGTTAGGCCTGCCGAATGGTTGATTAAAGTCGAACAAATTATCACTTACATTTGCGGCGCCTCCTGCCACAGTCGTTGATTTCGGCTCATCTTTCTCATCTATAGCGTGATCCTTACCGTAATCTTTGATTTCCTCAGTTTTGACCTGTTTTTCTCCTGGTACATCTGCAGTTGGTGCCAGTGGCATTACTTGCGAAACTATCACTGCGGGTGGTTTTTGAGCAGTGGCAGAATTGTCCGCTATACTCACACTTGCAGGGGTATCGACTACTTGATACTCCTGCAACAAGATCTGGCTTTCTTGAAAAGTATCATTCAGTTGAGCTTCCACATCATTGGCTGGAATTGGCGAGCTGACCAGATACTTCTTAGCTTGTGGTGTGTTATGGTTCGAACTTCGCGCATTAGCTTCCACGTCTGTGATCAAACTTGGCATACTTCCTCCTTGAGCAGCCAATCTTGGTTTAGTTAGAGATATTTCGAAGCTTTCGTTATTATCTGCTGAAACTTGGTTGCCAAGAGGAACAATATCCGACTGGTTTTTGGCGAAGTTGATAACCACTTGATCCAAAGTAGTTTGACTGACGGAGTAGTCTTCGATTAGTTCACACTGCAGCATTTGAAGTTCACGTCTTCCGGTGTAGACTGGGATTTGAATCTTGGTTTTCTTTCCTTTTTCTATCACTCTGAACAAGTCTCCCAACTTTGCCTCCATTTGGCCCAGTTGGAAAACTACCAGTGTCGGCAGTTTTTCCATAATTTTCGCGGTTGGAAAGTGTGAACAGAAAACCTCTTCGACTTGTTCACAGCATCCATTCGGCATCTTCAACTGAATAACATAACAGTCTCCATATTTGGTTTTAATGTGTTGTGATGTGCCGAGACATTTGAATTGGCCGTTGACCATTATGGCCAGTCTTGTGCAAAGCGCTTCACACTCTTCTATGGAGTGTGAAGTGAGAACTACTGGTCGGCCTTCCGATATTGCATCGTGGATGCATTGCCAAAGATACCTGAAACAGTAATTTCAAAATATTTTTTTTTTTTGAAAAATCATTGCTCTAAAACGAGAGTATTCGATCTCGCAGCGAACTTACAGGTTCAAAATACAATCTAGTTTGCAGGAAATTGTTAGCTTCTCAAATTTTCCATTTAGAACTTTTCAAAATCAGGACTAGCGTATTCAAATTAAGGACATGGCTAAAAAATTATCAAACATTGTTTTAATGAACGAATGGAACGGTCCGGCCTAACAGTTATTTTCGTTTTTAGAAGTGAATTTTAGCAAGAAGAAAAACGTGTCTTTTGCAATAATTAAATGTATATCAGGTTATTAACTCTTCTGAATTAAACAAACTATCTATCAATCTCAACAATTTTCAGCTGCGCAATTTAAAATGACACCACTATATGTAACGTCACATTTGACTGAAAGAGTTTAAGATTGGCTGTACATCAAGTTTCTATTTTAGTATATACGAGAGGTCACTGCGTGGAATGCGAGGTTTTAACAAACATCGTTCAAGAGTTTGAGTGCACAAGCGAGGTTTATCGAACATTATTCGCAAGATCGATCGGTGATTTTTAGTGTGTCCAAAGCAAAGTTAAATTAAAAAGCATTCGAGTGGTGGTTTTTAGTATTTGCAAAACGAAGTTATATCAAAACTCATTAAGTGTCAGCAAAGCGAAATTTTATTGAAGATCATTCAAGATTGCAAGAAGTTGTCTTCACTGTGCTCAAAGCGAAGTTTTATCAATCATCATTCAAGAGTTCGAGAAGTGGTTTTCACTCTCAAAGCAAAGTTCCGTCAACACAGCGACTAAACGAAACTTTCTCGACACAGAGGCTAAGCGGAGCTTTGGATTACTTGTGATACAATGCAAGCGGCGCATTGAAAACTACCGACAGCAAAAGAGACAGAAAAACACAGAGGCGAAGCTGAGCTTCGCACCACTTGCAGAACACAAGAAAACTCCAAAAATCAAAAGATAATGTGTTTAAAACAAAAATTGAAAAACATTAATGAATTTTGTTGAAGAAATCGTAGTCTCAATATTCTGAAAAAAATGATTGCAATTGTTATAGAAGTCAATTACCTTCAAAACAAAACAAGGATTTGGGTTTAACTCCATCCAATTCTTTCTGATAACCAATAGATGAAAACGATAAAACATTTCGGTCAAAAAATTGAGATACGATAATTCCTACTTACACTCAAAAACGGTTCATTAAATCTTGTAACAAAACAACCTGCATATCTAACCAGAACAGTCGGGGATAAAGGCCCTATCCGCTATAGTATAACATCAAAATGAAAAAAAAAAACGAAAAACAAAATATCAAAACATGAATACATAAATTACAAACAATTGCCACAAAAAAAAACAAACAATCTGAAAAAAAAAAACTCTCAAAGCCTGTGAAAAAAACGCAATTACATGAAGAATTATCAGTTATGAAATTTATACGCAACGGTAAGAGAGCTAAATTACAACAACAGAAAAAACGCCAAAGAAGAAAACAAAAAACAAACATTTTTCAAAAATTTCGGCCAGAAAGAACCACACTCCTGGAACTCGGGCAGATCTTCCCCGCCACATTCCTCTGTAGACAAAAAAATTGAGCCAACTTTGCGAAAAAAATCTATAAATTTTAAATTTTTTTGAAGTTTTTTCTATATCGATTTAGATCTAAAACGCACCAACCTAAACCTAAAACGCAACCTAACTAAATAAAATAAAACTAGTTTTACTCATATTTAGAAAAAAAATCGGAAACTATGAATACGAAAAAAGCTGAATAGTTATTTGCAAAAAATTCTAGCAGAAAGTTTCAAAAAAGTTTTATTTCTAACAGAAAATTTTGGCGCCTATGAAAACCAGAAAACCATGAATTATATTTGGCCTTATGAAAATGAAAAAATATCAAAAAATCTACCAAAAATACAGAACTTATTACCCGGCAAGTAAGCCGACAAAAATTGGGTCGAAATCAATGAAGCCGATAAAAAAATCAACTTACATCTAAAAATCTTTTTCAGCTGTAAAAGTATTATCGCTTCCGTCATTGAAGCCAGCTTTTGAATCACCATCTTGGGTACAAATAGAGATGCATTTGAAGATGACCTAAGTTTAGTCATTCTGTGGAAAAAGTTGTTTAAGGGAAAAAAGTCAAGTACCCGATTGCAAAACTCTCACTTATCGCAAGGGTAAAAATACTTCAAACTGAAGTTTTGTTTGAAAAAATCGAATTCAGACCAACAATCGAGAAATAACACTACCAGAATTAAACAAGCGTTGGGTATTAACCGAGGGGCTACAAGTCCCAAAATTCGTGGGTAGACGCTCATTAAACCGAAAACAAAAAACTGCCTTCAGAAATTTTCGTTATAAAAAAAAATTAAGCGATTAAATTTCAAAACTTTGAACTTTTGCAACACAACCGACCTGAATTACTATTTATTAACATCCTCAGTTTTTGCTTTTCGACCGTCACAAAATAAGTTGAATTAGCCAAGAAACAAGCCGAAACAAGGCTCGAATAAAGCCCTTAAGCAAAGAAAGGAAAAAACTAAGTCAGGGGTAAGAAAGTACAGGATTAAATCAAAAAACACTTGCAACTACAGAGAAAAATGCTTATAAGAAAAATCTGTGATATGGCAACTAAGCTGATACAATTTAAGCAGATAAACAAGAGGCGGTCAATGCAATGCTTTCTCGTTTTTTTTTCGATTTCATACATACTGAAAACAATAAAAGGACCCCAGAATAAAGAAGGTAACCGCATTACCTCAAAGCCAATTGCAAAGGATGCTAGAAATTGTTCAAGTTCACTAAAAAAGCACGTTCAATATGTAACAAAAAATGTTTGCGGTAAAAAAAGTCTAGTTAATCATTCAAAATTTCAAGAGGTGGTTTTCACTGAGCTAAGCAAAACCTTATCTGAATCTGCAATTCAAGCTTAAGTGGTGGTATTTCAAAGTTAAGTTGTGACATGACAAGTTTGCAGAGTTGCAGTAGATTAAAGCTCACGAAGTTTAACAAAGTTGTTACAATTATTTGCTGTAAACTTTTTTCAATCTATGTTAACCGTTTGAGATGTTCAGTGAGGAACATAGATGCAACTTACCGTCTAGCTTTTGGATCCATTCCGCTAGTCGGTTCATCCAAGAATATTATCAGCGGATCCCCTACAAGAGCAATTGCAGTCGACAACTTCCTCTTATTGCCCCCACTCAGAGTTCCACATTGCTTATTCCTGTACTTACTCAGCCCCATTTTCACAATGCAACCATCAACCACTTGGGCCACGTCTTGGTTCTGGATGCCGCGGAGCCTCGCATAGAGTGCAACGTGTTCCCGCACTGTGAGAAGTGTGTCTAGTGCGTCGAATTGTGGCCCAACCTTCTTCCGGGCACTGTTTAGTTCCGTGCCAATGTCGTGGCCCCCAATTATGGCTACACCGCTGCTTGCAATGTCATCTCCTAAAAATTAGCATCTGCTGATTTACGATCTTTGCATTATTTTTTTTGAGCCCTCAGTTTTTATCCAGTTTTTCAAGAGCCAATGGAATACGCTCCTAATTTAGAGCTCAGTTCATGCAATACAAGATATTTTATCATTACAAAATGTCTAATACAGCAGAGGGCTTTTGCTAACAAATAAATCATTTGATTTATAAAAACTTGAAAATTATCATCTGTTTTTGACCCGCATCTCATCAAGCTTAAGCCTTTCTAACCTGTGAGAATGTTGAACGTGGTAGTCTTTCCTGCCCCGTTGACCCCAAGTAGTCCGAAGCACTGTCCTGGGGGCACTGAAAAGCAGAGGTCCTTCACTGCCACAAACTTCCGTCCATACTTCTTCCTCAGTCGTTTCACCACAACTGGGTCATTGTCACTAACACCTAGAGAAATAAAATGAACCAATGGTTGCTTCAATATACATTTACTTTTAGAGGAAACTGTTTCTTTCAAGTTCAGCACGGGGGGGGGGGCAGCGGAGCTTTGCAACACTTGCGATACAACATAATCACAGCATTGCAAGTGAGCGAATAAAAATGAGACACGTCGAACAAAATGTTTTACACAGGCGAAGCTGAGCTTCGCACCACTTACGATACACAACAAGTCAGAACATCGAAAAAAAAAAATCGAAAGTGTCGAAAAAACTAGATCTACCAAAATGAATAAGACTTAGCTTCGAAACAAACACATGCCAGGACAATAGAATGTGAAATTAGCATCGGAAGATAATGTACCCAGCGGTAACAACGCCGAAAACACCTTGTCACAAACCCACTGAGCCGCAAAAAATCACAAGACTTATAAAAAGTTATTAAGTCGCCCTCACCCTCAAAGCAAAGACACGCACACACGAACTTTTTTCGCTCGTCGAAAGACGCAATATGAGGCCAATAAGCCGATATTATATAGGCCGAAAATTATCAAGCCGAAAAAAAAGAAAATAAAAAAACAAAAAAGCCGAGAAAAAAATTGTTGACATGAAAATGAACTATAATTTCCAAAGATTTTAAGCATTTTGTGCAATCCAGAGGTGAGCATAAAAAATCCAATCGGGACTCCAATCAAATGCCTAAGAAATACTACTCGACCAAGTAATGGGGCTTGGAAGTTATCAAGATTTCAAAAAAGCAAGGTCAGTTTCTCAAAGATTTCTGACAAAAATTGTTCAATGTTAGACCACTCCGTTCGACCAGTCAAATTTCACCATAGGTATCTTCAACTAAGTTGTGCAAATATCAATTTAATTTTAACTCTAAATCAGGTTATGTTCAATTAGTCATTCCCAAAATTTTTATTTACTCCTGCGATAAGCAAGGTTGTTGCAAACGGGTACTAGACTTTTTCTCGTAAACAACTTTGTCCGCAGGACTGATCTGGACGTATGTACTCACCTCTACCTTGTTCTATTATGTATACTACGAATTTCTTAGCACCCCGGGCAACATAGCCTGGAGGTAACGAATATTCCTGGTACGGCGACGGTCCTGGTTCAAATCTGACCAGGACCTGTTTTTGTTCAATAGGGAAATATTCTGTTTCATATAAAATTGGCCAATTATTTGTCTGCTTATCTGTTGTTGGCTTGGCTGTTCTCTTTAATGTTAATTTTAGTGTTTAATCTACGCCTAAATTTTGTAATTTTACTTACCTTGACTTTGTATTTCCTTTGTTTTTTTTGTTTCGCCGAAAAAGATCTTCGGTCAAAACTACTTCGGCCTATTTTTCCTCGGCTTAATGACCTTATTTTTAGCCATTTCCATATGATAAGTTATCGTCCTCTGAAAACAGAAATTTTGATTTGTTCAATTTTTTTTGAATTTTTTGGAATATTCTCGAAAACTACCCTTCCATGCCCGAGATTTTGGGTTTAATTCTCTTAAGGGGTTTCGAGTAGCGCATTTACTTATGCAAATAAGCCTCTCAATTCTTTTACTCCAAAAGTTTTCGCCTTCGGAGAAGTAAAAATTTTTATTTTATGACCGTTTTTTCACAAAAAGCTATGAATCTTGTTATCGTCAAATTTTTGATGTTGTTGGCCGTTTTTTGGACTGTTATCGCTAACTATCCTGCTACATCTAAAACTGTAGGTTTAATCAAATGATGTTGATGACAGTTTTGATTATGTGACAGTTTATTGACTTCACGCGAAAACTACTGGTCCAATTCTCAATCAATAAACCCAGCTTTGGAAATGTTTTCTGCTTAAGGCCATAACGTGCTGTTTGCAAACTACCAATTGTGCCCAGCAAATTGGAAAGTGAAATCTCTTAAGGGGTTTCGAGTAGCGCATTTACTTATGCGAATAAGCCTCTCAATTCTTTTACTCCAAAAGTTTTCGCCTTCGGAGAAGTAAAATTTTTTATTTTGTGACGTTTTTTCACAAAAAGCTATACATCTTGTTATCGTCAAATTTTTGATGTTGTTGAGAGTTTTTTGGACTTTTATCGCTAACTATCCTGCCACATCTAAAACTGTAGGTTTAATCAAATGATGTTGATGACAGTTTTGATTATGTGACAGTTTATTGACTTCACGCGAAAACTACTGGTCTAATTCTCAATCAATAAACCCAGCTTTGGAAATCTTTTCTGCTTAAGGCCATAACGTGCTGTTTGCAGAAAAACTTGGAAAGTTTTGAACGTTTTTTAAAATTTTTGGCCGTTTTTCGGAAATTTTTTGAGATTTGATATACTTTACGCAATCAAAACTGAGATGAAAAGTTCCATCGAAATAAGAGGTTGCGATAATTGTTTCTGCAGAAGCAGCGGTTCTATAGTTTTTTGAAAGAGATTTTTATTATCTCAAAATTTATCTCTCTTCTGGCTTATTTTAGTAGAACCAACTTAGGCAAAGTCCAATTTTTATAATCTTACTGTTCGTGCCGAATCAGTATTGAAATTTCATTCGTTTTCAAACACGTACCTCTAGCTTTAGCTGGGCTCTTTGTTTTTTTTATCGAGACAAACGAAAATTTTGTTTCTAGTCTTTTTCATTATCTAAAAAAATTTTTCGACTTATTTTATGTTTGTGTTGCATCGCATGTGGTGTGAAGCTCCGCTTCGCCTCTGTGTTAATTATACCGTTGATGGTGTGACCTCCCGGCGATAGAGAAAAATCCTTTTGGGTCGCTAATTTATTCCAAGCTTCTTAAATTCCCATCTCTACTCCAATCCCGACCTTTTAGCCATCAGGGGAACGTAATTCGTTTATTAGGGGTCAAATTGGGCCAAAAAGCCAGCTCAGGGGAACCAAGTAAATATCCCGTTCATTCAGTTTATTTAAGAGACCTACTTCCCATGCTACGCTTCTATTACTAGTGATTTCCTCTAGGACTACTTTTCTTTCAAGGTTCGAACATGTTTTGGACTCGGGCGTTTGTGTACTTTACTTCTTGTCGTCTTTCTTAGTGAATACCTAGCGACGAACACCTCAATAATCCTAGCTATACTGCATGCATTTTTCAAGGTAAATGGAATGTTGAATTTGCAATCGAGGGAGTACTTTTTTGAGGGTTAAATTTATCAAACGCTTCACCCATCATTCCATCGCAATCTCTAGGAAGGTTCTTCTAAGCAACCCAACTATTCCCTTTCCCAGAAAATTGTTCCTATTCAGTTTTCCTATTTCTTGTGCTTTAAGGTGTTTGAGAGTGTTCTAAGCCCACCTAACACTAGTTGATTTAAATTGATCAAAAATGATTTTTATTAGATTTTGAAAATTTTACGTTTCGGAGGGGTATTATATCTATATTAAGTTTCACTGAGGTTTTATAATTCCTGGTTTTTCTTTCCGCTCCGATGTTACAAAAAGGTTTCCTTGGTTAACTGATAAGTTTGATCAAAAATAATTGGGAAAGCTGTCGGCAGCTCCATCAAGTGTACCAAAGTGTGGGAGCCTTTAAGATGAAGAAATTGTGGGAGACCTAGAGTCCTTCTCCGGCTAGAAAAGAGCAACCAACCTAAAAGGACCTATTGGCCCCAAAAAAGTAATCTGAGACTATTGAATCTGAAATCCCATTTAAGTTATCTGTTTTTTTTGCGAGAAAGAAGTCCGACCGTTCAGAGCAAACTACCAATTGTGCCCAGCAAATTGGAAAGTGAAATCGCAAAATTTTGGGTGAAGTAATTCGTAGGTTCAAAATTTTTGTGTCATACGAACTTGTAGTTATATAATAGCCTAAGGTTTTTAGAAAAAACTTGAACCTAGAGTTGTAGCTGGAATTGCTGATTTCCGACGTCCCAGATTTTTTGATAGGAAGTTCGCAGTGTCTTGAATCTTAATCCCTGGGACCATAGAACTCTTAGTTTTTTTCAGCGTTCTAAGGTAGCCAGACACCAGCAGCAAAAGGTTGAATAATGCCGGTATAAGTTTCACTGAACATTGGTTGAAAAAGTTCGGACGACTTAGTTTTTTTTTCTCCGATAGATGTTAAACGTACAAAGTTTTTCATCCTACTAAAGTTTTTCACCCTCTCAAGGCTTTTTATCGCTCAGTGCAGTCAAGGGAACACTCCTAGGAAGGTTCATTCAATCCAATCATTGGTTTCACCCTTCCAAAGATTTTTGAAATCCGTTTTTGTCTTTTTGTTTTATCGGTTTCGATTCTTAGGCGTTTCCTGCGATCAGTTTTCTGAGATCATCGAACACTAGCCGCACTAAATTGAAAATTAAATAAAAATTATAGTAAAAAATGAAAGTTTCAATTTTTTGTAGGGTTAATATAACCCTCTCAAGGGTTTTAACTCTCCTTAAGATTTTTGAAAATTTTTCCCCTTTTGCTCTGTCTGTTGTTTGAAAACCTGAAATGTGAACCTGAGATCGCATGGCTTTGGCCATTTCA